ATTTTTATGGTGACATTCTTTTGATTCCTCTTTCAATTTCCTTCATTCTATGAACATTTTAAAATTTATTTTGGCATTTTATAAAATCATTTTAAGCTTACATTACATTTTAAACTGGCAACAAGGTCGTTACTGTTGTGCGCTTGGAGTAGTTGGAGGTGGGGCCCTTGACTGTGAGGCACAGAATCCTGGTTCCCAGGCCGCCACACCCACCATCTCCACGCCATCTGCCTGACCAGCCCAGCGGTGGTTTGCATGAAGTGCTTGGGCAAGTGCTTAGAGATTGCCTGCTACAAGAACAAGCTTGCATGTGTGTTCACATGGTACTTTCTCACCTACCCTCCTCAGGGAAACAGACCTAGATGATGTCCTGCAAACCTACCCTGTGTTTGTAATTGTTTGTGAAGGTCAGGTTGCAAAGGAGGAGGATCTCATTAGTCCACTTGGAACAGATGCCCAACCTGAAATCTGTAAGCAGATTTTGACTAAAGGAGAGGTTTAGATATCAGATAAAGAAGGCACCATACAGCTGCAGCAGATGTTCAGGGATATTTCAACCATTTTGGCGGACAGGTGTGTCAACCCAGAAACAAAAGACCTTACACCGTTGTCCTTGTTGGGAGAGCCATGAAGGACATCCACTATTCAGTCAAACCCAACAAGAGTACAACACATCAGGCTTTGGAAGGGATAAGGCAGCTGAAGGAGAAAACGAAGATGGAAGGTGGTCACATGAGGCCTAGGTTCTTTCCTCCAGTGAATGAAGGGAAGAAGCTGAAGGAGAGTGCAGGCCCTTGGTCAAGGTTATAGAAAGTGAAAACTACAGCCAGCAGCTAGAAATTGTGTGTAGGGCTGACCAAGGCTGCTTCCGAGAAATTGCTAATAAAAAAGGAAACAAAAGGCAAAGGTGCTTTGGAAGTACTCAGTTTGAGAGAGGAGAAATTTGAATGACACTCATCAGTCTCTTTGGTTATTAAAAAAGAAACAAACAAACACAAAACCACTAAAGCAAATGTTTTTCTTTCTGATGACACTGTTTAATTTCAGTGATTTGCCAAAAAAAAAAAATAAATAAAAAGGCGTAATTTGACATTTTCTGACTTATACATAGAAAGACTTCCTACATGAGTATAATGTGGGAATGATTTTGTTTTAATTTTAAATTGGTGTTCTAAACAAAAACAAAAACTCAAAAGAATGAAGTCCAAAGGGTCATTTTGCTGCTGTCTTATACCTTTATAACTTTCCAAAATGAAAGCTACTTGAGACAACTCTTCTGGCTAAAAAGTTAAGTTTTGTACATTGTATAGGTAAGATTATTTGGGGAATGTCATTATGACAAAAAGGAGTGTTTACTGGAGAAGGAAACCTGTCTTGTTTCTCTATGATTCAGTGTGTGGGGAACTATATTGTCAGTCAAGCTGGGATGATTTATTTCTAATTCTTAAAGTTACAATATATATCAGTATAGCTAAAATTATATGTAATCAATAAAACTACTATTTATATTAAAAACAAAAAAGCAAACTGACAATAAATTTTCTTCAATTTCATAACAAAAGTCAGTATATTTATTTATCCTTTGAACATTATGTTATTAATGGCAGTTTTATTTATACTGCATACCCATTAAAAGGTTTATGATAACTTTTATGTTTTTCTCTTTCAAATTCTGTTGAAAAAAGTGAGTGCTTTATGCCCAATCATTCCAGTAAAATTGAATTCTATATTGCTATATGGGTTTTCCTTGCTAGGAGAACTTTAAAATTTCATAAAACTTCTATTGCTGTGCACATATATTTCATTTTTCAATATGAGGGGTGCACTTTACTATATTTTGAAGGAGAGGTCAGTAGCTATGAAGTTTGGGTAAATTTATATATTTTTAAAGTCTTTGTTTTCTTATTTTTTGAAGGTTAGTATTTTGGGTTGCAGTGTTCTTAGTTGGTTTTGATGTTTTGGACACTATTACCCAGTTCCTTTTTGAGTTGAAAGGCTTCAACTAAGAAATTGACTTATAATCATATTCAAGTGCCTTTCTCAGTGGCACATCTTTTTCTTTTGGTGCTTTCAAGATTCTCTCTTTGTGAATATTGAAAAATTGAGTAAAATGTGCTTTGAGTCTTTTTTTTTTTTTGTGTGTGTGTGTGTGTGTTTTTCCTACTTGGGAGATAATGAGCTTCTTGAATTTTGTTATCCTATTTATTGCTCATTTCACCACATCTCCAACTTTTTATTACCACTGGAGACTTTCCGTTCCCCTGCCCTTTTTCTTAGGCCTTTTTGCTTTTTGTTTTTCATATCTCCCTTAGTCGCTGGGGCTGGCCTGAAACTCGGGATCCTCCTGGCTCAGACTCCCAAGTGGCTAGGATTATAGCTATGTACAACCACCCCTGACTGAACACTATTACTTAATACTTTCTGCAAGTACATAACTTTTACTTATTTCTACTAATGATTTTGGTCCGTGTTTTAGTCAACATTCTGTGTTCTGGTATAATTCACTAAATTTATTTCAAATGGTTATTTAGCTTCTTTGGGTAATTCACAACTCTTACTTTCCTGATGTTCAATGCCTAGTGTTTTATTTGATTCTTGGATTAAGTCAAGTGCCCCCTTTTCTTTGTGTACTTATTATATTTTATTTGTCCATTTAAAAAAGAGTCTCTAGTAGATTAATTTTCATTTTGTAAAACAATAGGAAATTAGTAAAGAATTGAGAAATAGGGAAGCACGGTTCTGCATTCTGATATCTTCAGGTAATTGGGACAATGTTCAAGAGAATTTAATGTTTGAGGTATGTCACACCATGTCTCAAACCACTTTAAAAGGGCTTATTTTATAAGTCAGTGGTACAACAACTTTGGGCTTAATCTTAAGCATCACACATAAAAAATTAAAAGTAGAATGACCCTGTGATCCAGAAATGCACATTTTAAAGAAGTATCCCAGGGATATTAAATAAGCACATGGAAGAGATATCTCCACTACCATTTCATTGGAAGCATTGTTTACAGTAGTCAAGACAAGGACTCAAAGTTTTTGCCTATCAGTGATTGAGTGAGTAAACGATATGATATTTCTAATCCACAATTTAACATTAGAAAAGATATCCTGACACTTAAAGTGACATGAGATGAATATGTAGAACTGGGAATTATGTGAAATAGACACAGTAATTTGCAGCCTCATTTGACTCAATGTGAAACTTAAAAAGTGCAGAGAGTAAAATGTTTACCTGCTGTTGTGCTTTGGGGAGTGTTGTTCAGTCTGCAAAATATTATTGTAATGGACATAAAGTTAAGAGATCCATTGGTCTCATGGTGAGTGTAATGTATTATATCTTTGTTTTTGCAGGGGGGTACCCAGTATTGAAACTAGAAGCACTGAAAAACTGAAAAACATCCCCAGTTCTTTTTTTTATTTTTTATTTTGAGACAGGGTCTTGCTAAGTTACTTATGGTCTCCCATTAAGTTGCTGAGATGGTTTTGAATTTGGAATCCTCCTGCCTCAGCCTTCCAACGTGTGGGGATTCCAGGCTTGTCTCACTGCACTGGCTAATGTATTATATTCTTGGTGAATGCTAATAGAAATGAATGCAATGTTTTCTTAGCACTGATAATATAATGTGATAATTATATAAAATAATGCATTTATTAATTAGCTAGACTTAGTCATTCCTCCACTTATTTAAATTTTAAAATACCATGATATACTTAAATACATAAAATTGATTTTGTCAATTAAATGATTCAGTAAATAACCAAAATTATAAAAATGAAAGACAAATCATTTTTATTGACTGCCATGTGTTTACTTTGTTCTGATAATACTGACATAGGCTGTGTGGGTGGGTGCATGCATGGATGTGTATATTTTTTTCATTAAAAAGATTTATCCATATTTCTCCATATGGACCCTATGCTCTTTAGCCCTATTGAATATCTGTGTTATTGTCATCCAAATTCCATCTCTTATATCTGGGTCTCTGTCGTGGTAGACAGAAAATGATTTTCAGACAGTCTCCAAAAAAGCCAGAAATGTTCATGTTTCACATTTCCCTTTTTTTATTGAGAAATGAAGGAAGTTGGTGGATTTTCCCCAATTGTATGATAATGTATTCTGGAGTAGGAAGGCCTGTAGTGGATAAAAGTAACATGCATTCCTTTTCTATGGTATATATATGGTCCTTAATTATATGCTCATCTTGAATACTGTAAATGCTCAGATGTTTTTGTTAATTCTCACAAAGTAATTTTGTCTGTCTGTTATTCTTTCACTCACATATATTTGGAGTAAGGATGGCTTTCAGTGTACTCCTCTGCCACCCTGCTGATGTCCCAACTGCTATGACTTCATGTTTTATTTACAAAGTTTATTTCCAATCCAATATGTAAAATAATTGTCATTTTTATTTATTTCAGCCATGACCTCTCATCATACCCAGAAAATTTCACCAGAGCCTGGCATAGAACATTTATTTAAAAAAGTCATACAGAGAAGATGTGGAAATTGTGACCTTGACTTTTTACAACAAAAGAAAGTATGGGACATTGCAGGTGAGAATGAAGGTCAGAAATCATACTATAAAGAACAAGACCAATTAGTAGTGACTGTCCATAATGAAAATTCTACTGTCAACAGAACTGAAGAACATTTAATAGCTCAAGAAAGTATTCAATTTATAACTAAAGGCCAAGTTTCTAAAAGTGATCACTTAGAAAATTTCATTGGAAACCATCCATTACTCTGCAATGAACAAAGAATGTCTTCTTGTGCCCAAACRTACATCTGTAAGGATTGTGGAGAGGCCCCTGTTTACTCATTATTGCTTAATCTAAATTCAGATATAAATTTCAGGAAAGTGTGCAACACACATAATGAAACAAGCAACACCTTTAGTCAGGTCTCTACTGTAAGCAATTACCAGTGTGCTTCTGTTAAAGAAAACAATTGTGAATGTAGCAAAACACAGAAGAACTCTGGCTCTGGTTGCAATATGAGAGAACATCAGCTTGGTCATTGTGCACAGAACCCTTACAGAGATGACGAATGTGGGAATGTCTTTCCTCAGTGCTCAAAGCTGATGACCCATCCAAGTACTCAGGGCCAAGAGGCGCCTTGCAAATGTGAGGCATGTGAGAGAGCTTCTAACCTAGTGGCTAGCCTTCCTCAATACAGTGGAGCTCCTCCTGGAAGGGAGCCCCCCAAATTTAAGGAGTGTGTCCAAGCAAGGAGTTGCTCACCCCTTTCTAAACACCACAGGTACCATAGCAGTGATCAACACTACAAATTTAAAGAATGTGGCACAACTTTTAGTCAAGAACCATCCCCTGGTAAGCACCATAGAATTCATACTGGAGAGAAACCCTACAAATGTGAAGAATGTGGCAAATCCTTTAAAAATTGTTCAAACTTTTCTAAACACCTCAGATGCCATAGCAATGAGGAAACCTACAAATGTAAAGAATGTGGAAAAGTTTTTAAGAAGTTTTCAACTCTTACTCAACACAAAAGGATTCATACAGGAGAGAAGCCCCACAAGTGTGAAGAATGTGGCAAAGTTCTTACTCGAAGAGCATACCTTACACAACACCAGAGAATTCACACAGGAGAGAAGCCCTACAAGTGTGAAACATGTGGCAAAGCTTTTAATCAAAGATCACACCTTACTCAACACCAGAGACTTCATACTGGAAAGCATCCCTACAAATGTGAAGAATGTGGGAAAGGTTTTAATCAAACCTCAGACCTTACTGAACACCAGAGAATTCATACAGGAGAGAAGCCCTACAAATGTGAGGAATGTGGGAAATGTTTTACTCGAAGAGGTTACCTTCCTCAGCACCAGAGATTTCATAGTAAAGAGAAGCCCTACAAATGTGAAAAATGTGGCAAAGGTTTTAGTCAAAGAGCTTGCCTTACTCAACACCAGAGAATTCATACAGGAGAGAAGCCCTACAAATGTGAAGAATGTGGGAAAGGTTTTAATCAAAGCTCAAACCTTACAAAACACCAGAGAATTCATACAGGAGAGAAACCCTACAAATGTGAAGAATGTGGCAAAGGTTTTACTCGAAGAGCATGCCTTACTCAACACCAGAGAATTCATACCGGAAAGCATCCCTACAAATGTGAAGAATGTGGGAAAGGTTTTAATCTAACCTCAGACCTTACCCAACACCAGAGAATTCATACAGGGGAGAAGCCCTACAAATGTGAAGAATGTGGCAAATGTTTTACTCGAAGAGGTTACCTTCCTCAGCACCAGAGATTTCATACTAAAGAGAAGCCCTACAAATGTGAACAATGTGGGAAAGGCTTTAATCAAACCTCAGACCTTACTAAACACCAGAGAATTCATACAGGAGAGAAGCCCTACAAATGTGAAGAATGTGGGAAGTGTTTTACTCAAACACAAAATCTTACTGAACACCAGAGAATTCATACAGGGGAGAAGCCCTACAAATGTGAACAGTGTTGGAAAGGTTTCACTCGAAGAACCCATCTTACTCGACACCAGAGAATTCATAATGGAGAGAAGCCCTACAAATATAAGGAATCTAACAAAGCTTTTAAGGATCCTTTGTCCTTTACTAAACACCAGAGTGTTCRTGCAGGAGAGAATGGAAGTCCCAACCATAGCACCCCAGAGCACCTGCTGGCTTTCCTGCACATGCTACAAGTGCCCAGAGCCCTGGATTGCCACGCATTTCAGTAGCAACTAACCCCACACCAGCCACCTTCCCATGTGGGCAGTTTTGCAGGGCTGCTGACCCACAGGGAGGGAAGTTTTTTTTTTTTTTCCTTTCTTTCTTTCTTGGTGAGGACATTTGATTTTCTTTCTTTCTGTTCATCTAAATTTCTTTCTGTCAGCATTGCTGCCTTCCTTTTTTCCATGTTTCCCTCCCTCCCATCACTTTCCCTCTTCTACCGTCTTGTCTTTATATTTTTTTCTTCTCTTAAATGTAAGTCCTCTGTGGATGAATGTAAAAATCATTCATCTCCCTAGCCGTCCTCCTGCAAGATTCCATATGCCCCTGATGAGTGCATTCCTGTCACCTTCCTGCTCATTTATTATCTGCACTTAGTTTGTACACCAGGTTGAAAGTTTATCCCTATCTCCTGCTTCCCTCTTGAAGTAGGAAAAAAGGCTGACTTCAAGAGGCTGCTAAATATAATAGTTCCTGTTTGTACTTTTTTTTTTGTGTGTGTGTGTGTGTGTGTGTGGCCAGGCCCAATATCACAATCGCTGAATTAAATAGGGTAAAATGTAGAATTGCCCATGGCACAAAGATTCTGTTTTATTTTCTAGCAGCTTCTTTGCTGCCTGAGGGACTTTMTGCAGCTATACCTTCCTTGTGTCCAGGAAAAGCTGAGCAACAGTGTAACCTGATACAACTCCCAGCTGAGCCTTGGAACCTTTCCTCAACACATGAGCCGAAACACATAAACTACAGTCACCAGAAAGAGAACAGCATTGCGTTATTTTCATGATTCCCAGTTTTACTAATAATGCTCRTTAGTTGCCAAAGAAAATCATTCCTTAGGCCTTAAGCCCTGCAGAATAATTTCTTTTGGGACAAGGTACTGCCACTCCCTGACAGACCTCCAATAGGATACAGAACCATCCCAAACCTGACATTGAACTTGTATAATTGGAATGTGGACTGTGTTTCCCTCTGAGTCAATAAAACACATGAAGAGGGCTGGGGATGGAGCTCAGGGACAGAGTGCCTGTGGGTTTAAGGCCTAGCATTATAAACAAGACCAGTCACCTTCCTTCATACTGGAAGGAAGAAAAGGAGAAGAGTGGGAAATACATTATAGGACTTGACATACACTCCCAGACATAAAATAGTGTGAGACCTAAGCTGGCACTGAATTAAACATCATTAAAAGCGACCTTGACTCTGTGTGTCTTGATGGCTCACCTGTAGAAATAAAACAAATTCCCAACCAGGTCTAACTCCCAGGCCTTTACAAAGGGCGCAGAGGAGATTTCTGTCCCCACTGAATTTGCAATGAGGCTTTTAGAAGGAGGAGCCCAGGAGGGAAGAGAAACACCCCCTGGCATCGTGGGCTTTGCACCCTTGGAACTGGGGTGGACAGCAGTGTTTGCTCTCCAGAGGAGATGGAATGACTGGCCTTTGTCACTCCCACCCTCCCTGAGACAATGATTGCAGAACACTCACAGCTGGTGAAGAAACCCAGGGTGCCCTGGAGATAGGCGGTGTACTATGGAGAATTAGATAAAGTGTTGCCTTCTCTGCCTGTAGCACTTCTCACTGTGCAGGAATTGGACAGGCGTAGCCCAGACACCTCCCCAGCAACGTGGGGACATACTTCGGAAAAAGAGGACTTTGCACACTAGTTTCTTATCCCATGTGCTCCAGGAAAATGTAAGGCTGGTGCAGTATGCACCTGAGGAGGCAGCAGGAACTTCTGATGAATGTGAGCTGACAGAGCCATCATCCCTCAGGGAAGGAGCAGCCCCAGTGAGTTCTTGGTACACTGGTTCAGCAGAGGCCTTGGGACCAGTGGACTCCCATTGCTACACAGCCCTCCATGGACACCTTAGGATGTGTTGGAGGCATAGGGCAGAGCAGCCTGTGGGCTGTTCCATGCCTTGTGTGCTAGAAATAGTGGGGTCCTGGGTGCCCCAGGAGACCAAAAAAAAAAAAAAAAACACTCTAATCAAGTCTGTCACCAGGGCAAGAATTTTATTTCCATGCACATATCTTTATTTTTTATATGTCCATTGCTTTTGAGGTTTTTCTTTTTTTTTGCGGGGGGGGGGGCAGGAAAATGATGATTTAAAAGGTTAACAAGATTCGTTTGACTGGAACTGGACTGTTCCTGACTTAATTTCTGGGAGACCCAGAGGCAGGTCACCTCTCCCTGGAGGCCTCAGTGCTGAGTGACCTCCAGGGAGCTGGAAGGTGTCTCCCTGGCCTGCTCATCAGCTCATTTGAGGATCAGATGCTCCTTGGGGACTACAATGGATACTAGGCTTGAGGGTCATCAAGTGGCCTCACTGTGGTGCCCTGAGGCCGCATAGTCGCAGCATAGATCACTTCAACAGTCATTTTAATCAGGAGGGGGCATGGCCAAATTCAGGGTGGCTGAGCAGAAGAAATCCTCGGGGAAGCTGTAATTTATATGAGCAGGGAGATGAGGCGCTGTGCTTACCCCCTCCCAGACGCCCACCTGCCCCGTGGGAGCAGTGTCCCTGCCCGGTCACGGAGACAGAGGGAGGATTTCACCAAGAAGGTGGCCCACTGCAGAGTTGGGCATGGGTGGGACAGTGGGCTCTAGAGGCTCCACCGAGGACCTGGCGCGGGCAGCCGGGTCAGGCCAGCCCTGCAGCCCAGCCCATGCTCTCGGAGCCAAACACAGGGCTGGGGAGCGGCTCAGAGGTGAGGCTCCGGGGTCAACCCACGCTGGAGCGGGAGGCAGGAAGATTGCCAGACCCTCTCCTGCCATCGGGAATGAATAGCAATAAGACCTGCTGTGAGGAGGGGGCAGAATGGGCGTTTGAAAACACAGAAATGCAGGTAAATTAAAAACTAAAATGACTCTCGACTCTCTTGGCTGCCTCTGGGGAGTCGAGGAGGGGAGGAAACAGGAAAGAAGGGAAGCAGATCAGTGATTTTATTATGCACTTTTAGCCATCATCGGAATTTAAAAACTATATGCATATGTTACTTTGATTAAGAACAAATTTAAAATTTCTGAATAATGTGAATATCACTTTTAACATTTATATAAGATCATATCAAGAATACATGATTAAGACCACCCTGGTTTCTTGGCTAGTCCCTTGTGATATTTGTTTCATTTAACCATCTCATATCCTCATAAGCTCCTAAAATGCAGAGACTRTTCTACCTCGAATGTGGTTTATTACTAACATTATAACATGAAATATAATGTTAATAATTTTAAAAATCACACTTGGAGAAGAACACACAGTAAAAGTGCTTGTTGCTCTCAGAGCGCCCAGCAGAAGGGGACAGTGTGCACAGATGCCCACACAAAGTCACTTGAAAGAGCCTGGCCAAGGCAGGGGGAAGGGCAGAACAAGGGCCAGTGGGCCTTCAGAGGGTTATGGGTGGGAAACTTGTGGCACCAGGGAGGCATTCTCACTGGGTAATGTTTTTTTACATTTTTTTTTTTTTGGTTACTATGGATTGAACCCAGGGGCACATTACTACTGAGTCACATTCCCAGTCCTTCTTATTTTTTGCTTTTAGACAGAGTTTCACTGAGTTTCTTAGGTCCCTGATATGTTGCTGAGGCTAGCCTTGAACTTGTAATCCTCTTGCCTCAGCCTCCCCCAGCCACTTAGCATTACAGCTGTGCATCATATCTGGCCTCTGACATGTAAGTTGAATGTACTGGGTTAATAGATGTCTGGGTTCTTTTGTGTAGCTATATGAAAATACTTGAGATTAGGTAATTTATAAAAACAGAAGTTAGTTTTCTCACAGTTCTGGAGGTTGGAGTGTCCAAGTTCAAGGTGTTGGCAGAGCCAGTATCTGTTGAGCATTGGTCTCTCCCTCTGAGAGGGTGCCTGTTGCTGGTTCTCCATGGGGATGTGAACACTGTCCTCTCACGGCAGAGGGGTGGCAGGGCACAGGGAAGGGGCCTACACTGCTTTTCTTAATTCCCTAATGGATTAGGGTGCTGATCCATTCATGAGGCTCCACTTCCCAGAAGTCCCACTTTTAATACCACCTTGGGGCACTAAATTTCAAAACATGAATTTTAGATGAAGTTCACACCACAGATTGGGGAAAAAGGTTAAACGGGAGGGACACCATGAGGTCATAGTTAAACCACCCCCATAATAATCACAAACACTCAGAAACAGACAATGGCCAAATGGAAGTCCGTTGTAGGCCAGCCTCAGGCTCTCAGTAGTCATGGAATCAATAAAGAGCAAGGAAGTCAGGTTCCCATCAGCTGAAGAGTAGGCAGGTGAGATGTGGCAGGTCCTTGCAATGGAGTAGTACTGGGCAAGGACATTATGAACTGTTCCATGCTGCTACTGGAGGAACGGCATAGACATTATGCAAAGGGAAAGAAGTCAGTCATGAAARACTGTTGATGTTGAGATGCCATTTACAGGAAGAGTTCCCAGCAGGCAGATCTGTAGAGACGGAGCAGGGGAGTGGCTGTCAGGGCCTACGGGCAGGAGGGTGAGTGGGGAGTGACAGGTAAGGGGAAGGGGTGCCTGTGGTTCCTGCTGCTGTTTGAAGTAGGAGAAAAAGTTGAGTTGAAGGAAGGACTGGTTTCTTTACAGGAGCCAAGGGGCACACCTGTAATCCCAGAGACTCGGGAGGCTGGAGCAGGAGGATCACAGTTCAAAGACAGGCTCAGGAACTTAGTGAGACCTAGTCTCAAAAAAATTTATTTTTAAAAAAAGCATGAGGATGTAGTTATTAAGTGCCTCTGGGTTAATCCCTGGTACCACGAGAGGGTGATAGTCATGATCTAGAGAAATCTGTCTCCCTAGGAGGCACACTGCTGAAGTCAGGAAGTGACTTCTGGGCACCATCAAAAGCATCTGGTCTGTTAAGACCTCAGCCAGGAGTGGGCGCAGAGAATGTGCTCAGTGTGTGAGAGCCTCTGCATTTGACCCCAGAACCTACCAAACCTCAGAAAGGTCACCAGATGTAGGTAGTTCCTCACTTCTGTTTTCCAGACTTACAGTGGTACAAACTGTCCCCACACAACCACTGGTGCTTGCTTTTAGGTCAGTGTTTAGCACTCTGCATAACATAGTCAGCACTTTGTGGGCTGGGGAGAGACTCAGTGGTAGAGTTCACTTAGCATGTGCCAGGCCCTGAGTTCCACCCTGGCACAGCAATGGAAGACGAGTAATACTGCAGGGCGAGGTTGGCTGTGTTGCTGACTGCTCCACTGCAGGTGCCGTGTGTGTTCCCAGTGTGCTCAGGTCAGGCTTGGAAAGGCTGTGGCAGTCAGTAGGTTAGAAGTGTGTTATGCATTGAATTGCTGAACAATTTTGCACCTTACATAGGAAGTCCCCAGTGCAAGTACAGCTGGGGCTAGGAGGCCACCAAAGACCAGAATCTGTGTCAGTGCTCTCCACACATAGTCTGGGGATTGAACCCAGGCATGCTCTACCACTGAGCTACAGCCCCAGCTCTTTAGATTTTGAGCGAGGGCCCATCTGTCCTTAGCCCCAAAGCTTTATTCTCTCCCAGGAACTTGCATTCAGTGGGAACCCTGAGGGTGGAGGCTGATTTGGGCTTCCTGAAAATCTGATTTTTGGGGGCCCAGCTCTCTGGAGCCCAGGGATCTCACCCAGGGAGATATGTGTTTTCCCAGACAGTTTCTCCCTGGACAGGGGCTGGAGCCTAGCAGATATGAAGCTGCCAGGTGCCATCATGATTATATCTCTGCTCATTGACAGCCAGCTGGCACTCACGGGGCTCAGAGTCAAGCTGGACCAACCTCAGGCCGAGGACTGGGTCTGCTCTGGGATTTGTTCCCAGGCCCGTTGCCTCCCAAGCCTGGTCCTGTGTCATGACAGCCTCGTAACAAYATGGAGTTGCTTTACATTGCTGATCCCAGTCTCATAGAACAAGAGGGAAACAAGCCCTGCCTTGCACACCTCTCCCTGCTCACCCCCAGCACCACTCAACCGTGTCTAGTACCACAAACGCAAGTGGAGGCTTCTCAGGGTCTGCTGCCTGTCTCAGGAGTGAGTCAGCTTGTTATCTTCAGGACAGAAGTGACCCAAGGTCAGGGTGGCAGGGAAATGCAGACTGAGGTGCCACAGTGCAAGTGTCCCTCATGGAGGAAGGYTTCTTGTCTTGGAAACTGTGGTGGCAATCTTGGAGACAGCGTTCCAATACAGCCTAAGACCACCCAGAAGTTCCCTGGGGACCACTGTCCTCATTTCTGCAGGATGCTTCTGAGAGTTTGACTGCTCAGAAGTCCCCAGTGCGAGTACAGTTGCAGCAAGGAGGCAACCAAAGCACTAGAACAAGCCTCTTATTTTCTGGAATGGCCTTCACTTTAAGTTACTGTATTACCAGATAACAGCTTAGCTTTAGTCAGACCACCCACCATAGAACCTGGCTCCAGCAGTGGTGGGACCTGGGGACATGGATTTATCTCTGTGTCTACCGTTAAGTGTGCCCATGACAGCAGTGTGGTGGCCCTAGGGGCTCTAGGGGAACATATGGCACCAGCCACTGGCCAGTGGTGCTCCACAGAGTGGGCTGTGAGGGGCTGTCCCACCCCATGATTCAGACAGGTTGTCACATACTCAGGACACAAAAGCAGTGAGCAGTAAGCATGGTGTCCTCATTCTGCAGGGTGACAAAAGCTGGGGTCCAGACAACAGATGGCACAGGAGCCATTTACTCTGCTGTCAGGAGCTGACTCCCAACTGCAGCTAAGCAGCAGCTTGGACCTTGCTGGGGCTGCAGGTGAGGCTGCACAGGGCTGCTGTCACAGAAGCAAAGGAGGCGGAGGAGTGCTGGTCTGGCAACAGAAGCCTGGGGGCACCTGGGAGGCCTCCTGGCATGAGGATGTGCCCGCTGTCCATCAGGAAGTTTTGTGTCCCTCCAGGACCAGGCAAGCTGGCCAAACTCCACCTCTGTTGCCACTATGTAGAGAAGCCAGGTTGCTGGTCATTGAGGTCAAGCAGGTCCATAAAGTTTGTCTCTTCATCTGCTGCCCTGTTGGAGGACACCCCAATGTGCAGAGGCAGGGCTGCCAGCACAGGCCACAGCAGGATCCTGGGGCAGGCAGGGTGGCCTGGGCCAAGGCAGTGGTGAGATGGAAGGTGGGACCAGTCCCACAAGAGCTGTGGAAGCAGCCAAGAGGATTAGTTGATGAAAGGATGTGAAGTTGGTTAAAGAGGAAGGGTGGAGAAAGGCCCCCAAGTCCTAGGCTGAGCTAATGGAAGGAAGGAGAACTGTGGTACCATCTATCTTCTGTCTTTTAGTCACCTGTTAGTTATCTATCAATCCATCATCTATCACTCTCCACTCTTCTAATACTCTATTTGCTATCAATGTATCATCTAAAATATCCGTCATCTATCATCAATTATCATTTATGAATCTATTTATCATGTTTCATCTATCAGTATCTTATGTGCTGCATCCAATTCCACTAACTGAGCTGGAGACATTTTTACTTTTCTCACTGTGGAACCCAAAGTGCCTAGAACTGAGCAGGCACTTAGTAGGTGCTGAAGGGATTGTGTAGAAGGTGGCACCTGCCCAGGAAGTCCTCCATTAGTGTTCATTCTTTGATACCCATGGTCACTGCTCTGGGGTGGGAGCTTCCTCTCCAGGCTCCAGCTCTTAGGAGTGCAGATCTCTGAGCTTTGGTGAGTTTTGCGGGGGTGCTGACCTTCATGGAGAGGTCTGCA